CCATTCAGCCATAAAGATGGTATCTTGCCATCTGCGACAACATGGATGGACCTTGAGGGTATTATGCTAAGTGAAATAAGTCAGATGGAGAAAGACAACTATTGTATGATTTCACTCATGTGGAATATAAAAAATAAGTAAATGAACAAACAAAACAAAACAAGGGGACTTCCCTGGCAGTCTAGTGGTTAAGACTCCACCCTTCCACTGTAAGTGGTGAGGGTTCAATCCCTGGTCCAGGAACTAAGATCCCACATGCCACATGGCATGGCCAAACAAACCCAAACAAACAAACAAACCAACCAAAAACCTCAAAAAACCCCACATAGACACAGAGAACGGATTGGTGGTTACTAGTTGGGAAGGGGGTTGAGAGGGAGGGTGAAATAAGTAAATGGGGTCAACTGTATGGTGATGGATAGAAACTAGACTTTTGGTGGAAGGCACACTGTTGTGTATTCAGAAATAAAATTATAATGTTGTACATATGAAACTTACCTCAATTAAAAAAATAAAATAAAATAAATATGCCATTTCCCAATCAAACTGAAAAATGAAAGTTACATCAACTTGAAGCGGAAAAAAAAGTTTTCCTTATATTGAGACCAAAACTCATTTTACTTGTTAAATGAAACCTTTAGTTGGGGAAAAACTGATAGAGTTTTAAAGGTAAATAACACCAAAGAATCTGGGAACCACTAAAATTATGGTGGAAGAGAACATTCAGAGAGACAAGTAAGCATTTGCTTAGAAAGGAAGAAAATCTCTTTTATAGCTGAGTCAAAGATGTTGTTATTGCAGGGGAGAAATACCTTTCAAAAAGAGAAAGGCAAGCAAAGAAAAGAGAATAAAGATGCAACAGAATCATATTAAGAGGTACAGACTAGAAGTACCTTTTGCAACAGATTGTAACAAACAGTGCCAGGGAATTAAAAAAGAACTCAGGAAGGAATTAGAAAACTATTGACCAAATCTGTGATCTCTGACTACAGCTGCCAACTGGGTTGCAAGACATATGGGTTGCAAGTGTGGTTTGTGTTCATGAAAAAACCTTCAGAAGGGGCCTGAGAAAATAGCAGTTATGAGCAGTCATGTAGCATTTATAATAATAATAATTATTATTTTCTTTCTTTTTTAAATTTATTTATTTTTGGCTGCGTTGGACCTTTGTTGCTGTGCGCAGGCTTTCTCTAGTTGCGGAGAGCGGGGGCTACTTTTCATTGTGGTGCACGTGCTTCTCATTGTGGTGGCTTCTCTTGTGGAGCATGGGCTCTAGGCGCGCGGGCTTCAGTAGTTGGGGCACGCAGGCTCCGTAGTTGTGGCTCATGGGCTGTAGAGCACAGGCTCAGTAGTTGTGGTGCACGGGCTTAGTTGCTCCATGGCATGTGGGATCTTCCCTGACCAGGGATCAGACCCATGTCCCCTGCATTGGCAGATGGATTCTTAACCACTGCACCACCAGGGAAGCCCCCAATACCTTTATTTCTAATGATAATATTTACATGTGCCTTTGTCACGCTTACTCTGTGCTTGACCCTGTCTTAAGCACTTCTAGTGTTTTAACTCACTTAATCCTCACAACATCCCTAAAAAGCAGGCATTATTATCCTTGTTTTACAGTTAAGGAAAATAAAGCACAGGAAAATTAAGTTCACATCCAGGAGTCCCTGCTCTAGAGTTCTTGCACCTAATTATCCACATTTTAGAGATGAACTAGAATTAAGTTTATGACTCATTTCATATTTTACTGAGAAAATAGGAAAATCTAACTAAAAACTACTTCGTCTTCTTCACCAAGCTACCGAACTACCTGGGCCTATACCTCTCTGCCTTCTTTCCTGTTACAATGGATGAACTATTCTCACTACCATCTAAGGCCAATCCCCTCATTTGTGTACAAGACTCCAATCCCTTTTCCTTACTCATGGGCTCTGCTCTTCTAGTTATACCCCCTCTCCTGCGCCATCAATTTCTTCCTCTATAGCCTACAGATAGGTTACAGTATCTCCCATCTTTGGAGAAAAAAAAAATTTGTTTCTACCATGACACTGCCTATTTTCTCTGCTCTCCTATGTCAATGTCAGTGTGAATTACGTTTAGTCACATATAACACAAAATCCAGAATAGAGTAGTATATATAAGGCAGGGTTTGTTTTCTTTTATATAAAGGAAGCTCAGAGGTAGATATTATGGGTTCTTATTGTCCCTAGGGACCCAAGCTCCTCTGTCTTCCTGCTCTGCCATCCTTAGCGTAAAACTTCCAGCCTCAATATTACCTCATGACCCAATATGGCTACTGTACTCCAGACATTTTATCTATGTTCCAGGCAAATAGAAGTAGAAAATTGGAGGAGGGAAAAAAGAAGTAAATCCTAGGCTTTCCTCTGCACGACTGTACTGAAAATGCTTTTGCCAAGTTCACCAGTTACTTCCATATTTTCAAATTTCATATTAAATTTTCTGTTCTCATCTTATTGAACTCTCAGCAACATGGGACACACTAACCCCTCCTTAGTTTTGAAACAATGCTTTCATCTGACATCAGAGACTCCACATTCTCCTAGTTTCTTTGTACTTCATTGGCTGCTTCTTAATTTCCTTTACTGGATCCTCCTTCTCTTCCCAATCTCTAAAGATCAGTTGCCTCAGGCTTCATTTCTTGGTCCTCTTCTTTAGATACTCTGTTTCCCTAATGATCTCATTCAGTCCCATGACTTTAAATACTCTCTATATGCTGCTGATCCCATCAGTTTATTATCTCCAGACATGACTCTGTCCTGAATCCTAGACTCATATATTATCTCCACTTGGATGCCTAATAGGGATCTCAAGTATAACATGACCAGAACAGGACTTCTAATTCCTACCTTTAAAAAAAATCTTCTCTTCTCCCTCAATCTTTCCCATTTCAATTAATGGCACTACCATTCACACAGTTCCGCTGGACAAAAACCTCAGAGTCATCCCTGATTACTTTATTTTCCTCCCCTTCCTCATCCAATCCTTTAGAAAGTCTGGTCTACTTAATGTCCAAAATATATCTCCAATCCAATAACCTCTTATACCGCCAACATTCTTGCCCACACCATCATTGCCTCTCATCTGGTTTATTTATTTATTTATTTTTCATCTGGTTTATTATAAGAACCTCTAACCCTTTCCCTTCCTCCAGGCTTGTTTCCACTGATGGTCAGGATTAATAGTTACAAGAAACAGAAACTAACCACTGATTTAAGCAGAAAAAGAAATAATTTGAAGGAATACGGGCAGGGAATTTGGAGGTAAACTGGTGTGCAGCATTGGTAGGGTGGATAAGAGAACACAGCAGATAAAATCATGACATGCCGTGCATGGAAACAACCCCCATGGATACCATCCCCAGTGGTCTAGGATGCTGCCACTAGTTTTACCATGAAGGGGCAGGCAGTGACTGTCTGTCTCAAAGCAACTCTGCAGAAGGAAAGAGCAGAACTTTAAGAAGCTTTTCTTCACCTACCTTCTCACTGCTACCCTCCACCATAGTGTAGCCCCCAGTCTCTCTTTCTCTCCTCAGTACCCATCTTCTTCCCCCGCTTCCCACACACTCTAATTCAAGACAGACTTTTTAGTTTCCCTAAGGGTTTCTCACAGAGGTAGTGATTATGGTGGTTCATTCCTGGATTCTATGCTTCCCTCTTACTTTACATTTTCTCCACGGTTGATTTTAGAGGAAAAAGCCAGTGACCTGAGCTTATTTACCAGTTGCTCGTGTTCTCTGGTTCTTTACAAGTTCCTGTAGTTATTGGAGGAGGTTATTGCATTGTTATTGAAAGGACGGGTTGGCCCAGAGATATTTTTAACCCCCAAATTGTACAACTTAAAGGAGGCTGATTTAGTGTCATCGATGCAATAATCCCCGGGAAAGGATCTGGAATACATTGTGGATTCACGTTCATCTTAATTAACTCAATGAATACTTGGGTGGTTATTGTAAGCTAGGTGTGGTGCTGTGTACTAGGGGAAAAAACAAAAAAAGGAATTGTCCCTGCCCTCTAGTGGAGGAGGAGAGGAATTATCTATTATAATTATAATATTGTAAATAAAGATAATTGCATACCTTAATAGAGCCATGCACAAGGTCATTAAGTATATAGGGTCCTTGGCAAAGTGCTGTTTCATGGAAAGGTAACATGTGAGCAGAGAACTTGAAGAATGTGTAGGAGTTTTCAAAGAAAGCGAACAGAAGGAAAATGTTACAAGCAAAGAAAAAGTACAGCGTGAGGCAAAGAAAAAAGGCTTGAGAAAGCATGGGAAAATATAAAATAGATCAGTATTTCTAGAACATAAACTGTGAATGAAAATAGGTGCTGTAATTCATTGCTGATAGGTGTGTAAATTGGTTCAACTCTTCAGGAAGGCCGTTTAGCAATAACTCAAAATATTAAATGCATATACTATTTGGTCAGGAATATGTATCCTCCAGCATTGTTTGTAATAGCAAAAGATTTGAAACTACCTAAATATCCATGAAAGAGGGAATTGGTTAAATAAATGATAGGATATCCAAACAATGGAAGAGTATGCAGTTATAAAAAAGAACGAAGCAGATCTGTAGGTACTAATATGAACTAGATTTCAAGACATACATTGTTAAATGAAAAAATCTGGGTGCTGAGCACTGTGAATACAACATTATAATTTTTGATTGTTTTTTGGAGGGGGCGGGGGTGACTTCACACAGGTGCATAGAATATCTGGATGAGTTCACAGGGAATAGGTAACAGGAGCTGTCCCCTGAAGATAGGGACTGGGGATCTGGAGTGGGAGGCAGTGACTGACAGGTTCTAAAATGGTCCCAAATCATCTCTGCCTCCTAACATTCATGCCCATGTGTAATCCGTTCCCCTTCGAGTGTGGACAGGATCTGCAACTTGTTTCTAGACAATAGAATACAACAAAAGCGATGGATGTCACTTCTGTGATTATGTTAAATAGGACTGTAATTTCCATCTTGCTAGCAGACTCTACTGAACTTCACACTTGCTGGATTTTATGAAGTAAACAGCCATTCAGAGAGGTCATATGCCAAGGAACTGAGGATACCTCTGGCTGGTAACCCACAAGCACAAGGAACAAATCCTGCAACAGTGACGTTAGCTTGGCATCCTTTCCCAGAGGAGCCTCAGATGAGCCACACCCAGGACTCAGGTGAGCCATGCTCATATTCCTGACACACAGAAAATGATATAATAAATGTGTGTTGTTTTAAGCTTCTAAGTTCACGGTAATTCATTAACACAGTTTTAGATAACTAACACAGAACCTGACTTATTTTTCTTGTAATACATTTTTAATGCTTTTAATCATGTACCTGTAAAACCTACTTAAACAGACTTATTTTTCTTGTAATACATTTTTTTAAACATCTTTACTGGAGTATAATTGCTTTACAATGGTGTGTTAGTTTCTGCTTTATAATAAAGTGAATCAGCTATACATATACATATATCCCCATATCTCTTCCCTCTTGTGTCTCCCTCCCTCCCACACTCCCTATCCCACCCCTCTAGGTGGTCACAAAGCACCGAGCTGATCTCCCTGTGCTATGCAGCTGCTTCCCACTAGCTATCTCTTTTACATTTGGTAGTATATATAGGTCCATGCTACTCTCTCACTTTGTCCCAGCTTACCCTTCCCTCTCCCCATGTCCTCAAGTCCGTTCTCTAGTAGGTCTGCATCTTTATTCCCGTCCTGACCCTAGGTTCTTCATAACCATTTCTTCTTTTTTTTTGGATTCCATATTTATGTGTTAGCATACGGTATTGTTTTTCTCTTTCTGACTTACTTCACTCTGTATGACAGACTCTAGGTCCATCCACCTCACTACAAATAACTCAATTTTGTTTCTTTTTATGGCTGAATAATATTCCATTGTATATATGTGCCAAATCTTCTTTACCCATTCATCTGTTGATGGACACTTAGGTTGCTTCCATGTCCTGGCTATTGTAAATAGTGTTGCAATGAACATTGTGGTACATGTCTCTTTTTTTTTTTTTTTTTTTGCGGTACGCGGGCCTCTCACTGTCGTTGCGGAGCACAGGCTCAGCGGCCGCGGCCCACGGGCCCACGGGCCCAGCCGCTCCACGGCACGCGGGATCTTCCCGGACCAGGGCACGAACCGCGCACCCTGCACCGGCAGGCGGACTCTCAACCACTGCGCCACCTGGGAAGCCCCATGTCTCTTTTTGAATTATGGTTCTCTCAGGGTATATGCCCAGTAGTGGGATTGCTGGGTCATATGGTAGTTCTATTTTTAGTTTCTTAAGGAACCTCCATACTGTTCTCCATAGTGGCTGTATCAATTTACATTCCCACCAACAGTGCAAGAGGGTTCCCTCTTCTCTACACCCTCTCCAGCATTTATTGTTTCTAGATTTTTTGATGATGGCCATTCTGACTGGTGTGAGGTGATACCTCATTGTAGTTTTGATTTGCATTTCTCTAATGATTAATGATGTTGAGCATTCTTTCATGTGTTTGTTGATAATCTGTATATCTTCTTTGGGAAAATGTCTATTTAGCTCTTCTGCCCATTTTTGGATTGGGTTGTTTGTTTTTTTGATATTGAGCTGCTTGTAAATTTTGGAGATTAATCCTTTGTCAGTTTCTTCATTTGCAAATATTTTCTCCTATTCTGAGGGTTGTCTTTTCGTCTTGTTTATGGTTTCCTTTGCTGTGCAAAAGCTTTTAAGTCTCATTAGGTCCCATTTGTTTATTTTTGTGTTTATTTCCATTTCTCTAGGAGGTGGATCAAAAAGGATCTTGCTGTGATTTATGTGAACATAGAGTGTTCTGCCTATGTTTTCCTCTAAGAGTTTGATAGTGTCTGGCCTTACATTTAGGTCTTTAATCCATTTTGAGTTTATTTTTGTGTATGGTGTTAGGTAGTGTTCTAATTTCATTCTTTTACATGTAGCTGTCCAGTTTTCCCAGCACCACTTATTGAAGAGGCTGTCTTTTCTCCATTGTATGTTCTTGCCTACTTTGTAGTAAATTAGGTGACCATATGTGTGTGGGTTTATCTCTGGGCATTCTATCCTGTACCATTGATCTATATTTCTGTTTTTGTGCCAGTACCAGACTGTCTTGATTACTGTAGCTTTGTAGTATGGTCTGAAGTCAGGGAGCCTGATTCCTCCAGCTCCATTTTTCTTTCTCAAGATTGCTTTGGCTATTCGGGGTCTTTTATGTTTCCATACAAATTGTGAAATTTTTTGTTCTAGTTCTGTGAAAAATGTCAGTGGTAGTTTGATAGGGATTGCATTGAATTTGTAGAGATTGCTTTAGGTAGTATAGTCATTTTCACCATGCTGATTCTTCCAATCCAAGAACATGGTATATCTCTCCATCTGTTTGTATCATCTTTAATTTTTTTCATCAGTGTCTTATAGTTTTCTGCATACAGGTCTTTTGTCTCCTTAGGTAGGTTTATTCCTAGGTATTTTATTCTTTTTGTTGCAGTGGTAAATGGGAGTGTTTCCATAATTTCTCTTTCAGATTTTTCATCATTAGTGTATCAGAATGCAAGAGATTTCTGTGCATTAATTTTGTAACCTGCTACTTTACCAAATTCATTGATTAGCTCTAGTAGTTTTCTGGTAGAGGCTTTAGGATTCTCTATGTATAGTATCATGTCATCTGCAAACAGTGACAGATTTACTTCTTCTTTTCCAATTTGGATTTCTTTTTCTTCTCTGACTGCTGTGGCTAAAACTTCCAATACAATGTTGAATAACAGCAGTGAGAGTTGGCAACCTTGTCTTGTTCCTGATCTTAGTGGAAATGGTTTCAGTTTTTCACCATTGAGGACGATGTTGGCTGTGGGTTTGTCATATATGGCCTTTATTATGCTGAGGTTAGTTCCCTCTATGCCTACTTTCTGGAGGGTTTTTATCATAAATAGGTGTTGAATTTTGTCAAAAGCTTTTTCTGCATCTCTTGAGATGATCATATGGTTTTTCTCCTTCAATTTGTTAATATGGTGTATCACATCGATTGATTTGTGTATATTGAAGAATCCTTGCATTCCTGGGATAAACCCCACTTGATCATGGTGTATGATCCTTTTAATGTGCTGTTGGATTCTGTTTGCTAGTATTTTGTTGAGGATTTTTGTATCTGTGTTCATCAGTGGTATGCATGTGCCTTTTAAACTACAGTTTTCTCTGGGTAAATGCCCAGTAGTGGGATTGCTGGGTCATATAGTTATTCTATTTTTAGGTTTTTAAGGAACCTCCATACTGTTCTCCATAGTGGCTGTATCAATTTACATTCCCACCAACAGTGCAAGAGGGTTCCCTTTTCTCCACACCAAGCAGGTTTTGTCCATTCCAAGCAGGTTTGGCCAGTAAGACAGGTACCATCTTCCCCCAGATCCCAGCCAATGGCTATCGTATCTCACTGGGAGGGACATGCCGCCAGCATTTCTCATCTCTCTAAATTCCACGTTGCAGAGGTTAAATTTGAGATAAGTGTGCCAAGATATCAAAGTCTCCCTTCTTACACCTGGTTCCCACTCATTGAGCAGAGGCTCTACCTGAGGCATGGCAGGATGAGAATACTGGGACCCCAATTAGCCTCACCCAGTGTGTTCATAGGGTAGTGTTATGGTGGAGTTCCACAGCAAGAGAGGCAAGCCAAGAAGACCAGAGATTACTGCTCTACCCTGTGGCCTGCTAATAAAGCAGGGGAATCATTCCAAGAAAAGCAGGCAACTATCTCCACCCAAGTCCTGAAGCAGTGGCTGAGATTTTTCTCACTGGCAGGGGTGGTTCTTAGGGGCTGTGGCACTCTCCCCAAGTGAACTGACTTTAATTGAAAAAAGAGCATGGTGGCAATATATGGCAGGTCCACAGCTAACATCATACTCAATGGTGAAATGTTGAAAACTTTTCCTCTTAGGTCAGGAACAAGACAAGGGTGTGCCCACTCTTACCACTCCTATTCAACATAGTACTGGAAGTCCTAGCCAGAGCAATCAAGCAAGAGAAAGAAATAAAAAGTATCAGAACTAGAAAGCAAGAAGTAAAATTGTCCCTATTTGCAGATGACATGATTTTATATATAGAAAATCCTAAGGACTCCACCAAAAAAAACCAAAACAAAACTGTTAGATCTAATCAATAAATTCAGTAAAGGTGCAGGATGCAAAAATTTTTTTTTATAAATTTATTTTATTTTTATTTATTTTTGGCTGCTTTGGGTCTTTGTTGCTGCGCATGGGCTTTTTCTAGTTGTGGCAAGCAGGGGCTGCTCTTCGTTGCGGTGGCTTCTCTTGTTGCGGAGCACAGGCTCTAGGCGCACGGGCTTTGGTAGTTGCGGCACACGGGCTCAGTAGTTGTGGCACACAGGCTTAGTTGCTCTGCAGCATGTGGGATCTTCCCAGACCAGGGCTTCAACCCGTGTCCCCTGCATTGACAGGTGGATTCTTAACCACTGCGCCACCAGGGAAACCCAGGATGCAAAATTAACATGCAAAAATAAGTAGCATTTCCATACACTAACAATGAATTATGTGAAAAAGAAAGTGATCCCATTCACAATAGCATCAAAAATAATGTGAGGCATTTCAAGGCTGAGGGTCAAAAACAATGGAGATTTAAATTGTAAGCCATTAAGAGGTAGCTGGAAGCTCCGTGAAAGGAACAAAGTAAACTGTAGGCCAGCTAGTTTACCAGAATCACGGAAAGAGACAGCTATAAAGAGTCCTCAGAACAAACCCAGAGACTGGCCTCAAAACCACCTGTAGGAAGAGGCCTGAATTTAATTGACTGGAAGAATTTATGCCCTAGGGCATTGTCAAAAACAATAAAGCAATCAGCCACCAATTAGTGTAAGCCTATGAGCTGGGTATGATATAGAGGCAGACAGCTGAACAGAGAGATCAGGGAAACAGTCAAAAAGAGCCCTGCTAAAAACACCCAAGATGATTATCCGTATTCCTAAGCCTGCGCTCTTCAGGGTGTGACATCAGAGGCTATATGCTGTGGAGGAAATAGACATCCTCAAAATAATCCAGCCAAGTCACTAAACAAACAACAACAAGCCTTGGATGGGGAGGATGACATTAGTATCCAGAACTGCTTTATCATCTCAAACATCCAGTTTTCAGCAACAACAACAAAATTATGAGAAATATAAAGAAAAGGAAATTGTGACTCATACGTGGGGGGCCGAGGGTGGGATTGGGGAGGGGGAGGCAACAGAAACTGCCTATGAGCAGGCCCAGAAAATGGGCTTAACAACCAAAGACTTAGCAGCAGCTATTATAGATATATTCAAAGAACCAAAGAAAGTCATGATTAAAGAAGTTAAGGGTTATATGATGATAATTTCTCATCAAGTAGAGGATATAAATAGATAGAAATTACAAAAAAGAACCAAATGGAAATTCTGAAGTTGAAAGTAAAATAACCAAACTGAAAAATTTACTAGAGAAGCCCAATGGTATCTTTAAATTAGCAGAAGAATCAGTGATTTGAAGACGGATTGATAGAGATTTTGTAATCCAAAGAACAGAGAGAAAAAAAATAAAGAAAAATAAACAGAGACTCAGAAAATGTGAGGCATACTTAAGGGCACCAGCATATGCACACTTGGAGTGCAAACAGAAGAGGAGTGAGAGAATGGAGAAGAAAAAATATACAACGAAATAATGGATTAAACATTCTCGAATTTGATGAAAATACTAATCTACACACCCAAGAAACTTAATGAATTCCAACTAGGATAAATGCAAAGAGATTCAAAAACAGACACATCATAATAAACCTGTTGAAAGATAAAGACAAAAAGAAAATATAGAAAATGGGGGGAGGAGGAATATGTGCTCACAAGATACAGATTTATTGTAAAGATAAAGTAATTAAGACAGTGTGGTATCAGTGCAGAGAAATACAAATGGACCAATAAAACAGAATAGAGAACCAAGAAAAGGACTCATGCATATGTGGAATTTGATTTAGACAGAACTGGCATTGCAGATCCATGAGGTATTGAGTGCCTATGCAAGAAATGGTCTGGGACAATTGGGTATCGATTTTGAAAAAAAAGAAATTTAATCCCAACCTAACAGCAAAACAAATGTGAAGGCAAAACTTTTAAAAACATTTAGAAGAAAACATAGAGAATATCTTTATGATTTTACATTTGGGAAAGATTCTTAAGATACACATTAAAAAAATTCAAACCAGAAAAGAAAGTATTGCTAAATCTGCTCATATTAAAATTAAGACCTTCTATTAATCAACACATCATAAAGAAAGTAAAAATAAATAACATATTTAGAAGACATAACTAGGTGAAGGTACTTGCCACACATTTAACCAACAAAAGATTAGTTTTCAGCATACAAAAAACTAAAAAAAAAAAGATGTAACTTATGAATAAGCACCCCCTAGTGATAGGCACAGAGTTAAGGGACAAAGTAGGTGATTAAATAGTTAATCCCACTAGGGAATTGTAAATAAAGAAAAAGTATGGATCTCCCGTGTAAGTTAATGATCACTCAAGAAAGCAGGTTTGCTTAACCACAAAATCAAGCAGGCTTGCTTAGCAACAAAACCATGCAACAGAAGCATGAGACATGCCCCCAAATTATAAAACAATGGTGGCATGAGACCCACATCCTGCCCAGTGAGCTCGGTAAGTTAATGACTCCTAGGACATGCTCTCTGCACACATAGAAAACAATAATTTACGGAAAGGTGACATTTCAAAGTGAAAGACCCTTACTGTACTGAGACCTGAAATAATTTTTCCGTAATGCCATGACAGTCCTGGCTTGACCATGTAGGGACAGGAAATCTCCCCTGCCCAACCTGGAGGAGGAGATGATGATGGAAGTGTGACATCTACTCAAGAATGAGGAAGAAGGTGGTATTTTCCCCCTCCCCACTTTTCCTTTGATTATAAAAATGTAACCCACTAAGTACTCAGGGCAGCGCAATGCTTACCTGTCTGCTTGTAAGCTTCACAAGCGTCCTATTCTAATAAATCACTTCTTATCTATCACTTTGCTTTGAATTCTTTCTGTGCAGAGACATAAAGGACCAGAGCCCTCCAAAATGCCACCTAGTGGTTTCACTAGAAGATAAACAAGAATAGTTCTTAGTGAATCAGTAATATTGTCTCTTTAGCTGGATTGTGAGTGATTGCATTTTATTTTATTTTATTTTATTATTTTTTTTTGGTACGCGGGCCTCTCACTGTTGTGGCCTCTCCCGTTGCGGAGCACAGGCTCCAGACGCGCAGGCTCAGCGGCCATGGCTCACGGGCCCAGCCGCTCCGCGGCATGTGGGATCTTCCCGGACCGGGGCACGAACCCGCGTCCCCTGCATCGTCAGGCGGACTCTCAACCACTGTGCCACCAGGAAAGCCCTGTATTTTATTTTTAATCACTGTATGGTAGATAGACATGAATATGTTTAAAATATTCTTTTGTGGAGTTTCAGTATTTAATAACGATAACATGACAAAAACAAACAAAATAAATGAAAATAAAACAGAAAGAAGGAATTAATAAAGAAAAACCTGACATTAATAAAATGGGAAGCTGATACATTGTAGAAATAAGAAGAAAAACCAGAAAACAGAATGTTTTAAAAGGTTGATAAAATCTTCTGTTAAGGATTATTAAGGAAAATAAAACAAACAAATATATGAAGAATGTATAAGGCAATATAACCATAGAAACACACAAAAGAAATAAAAGTAGCTAATACAGACTTAGGAAAGGTTTACTATGTGTCAGACAATGTTTTAGATATTACATCATTTAAATTCCACAAGTATAAGTATTATGTCATTTAATTTTCACAACAGTTTTATACATGAGATAGCCTTTATTGTTACTTCTATTTCCCAAATGAGAAAAACTTAGCAGAGAGAGGTAAGAGAAATTCCCCAAGTTTACATTGCTAGTGAGTGACAGATCTGGGATTGGAATCTAGGCAGTATACGTGTTTAATCCTTCCTCAACATTGTCTTTCTTCAAATGTTTATCTCATAGACTATTAGAGTCCAGAAGATCCTTACAGACCACTTAATCCATTTCTCTTATTTTGTGGTAGAGGATCTTTTTTTGGATTGTCCTAAAAAATGGAACAAACTTTCTGGAGAGACTTAGAAGCGTAAGTGCAGATGTTACTGACCTAAAGAACAAATACAAAATTTATAAGAGAATGTGACGTGCAACTCATGGCAATAAATTTGAAAACATAGAAGAAGGAAACAATTTTTGAGCAAAATACAAATGATGAAACTGACTTAATAAGCAGGGAAAAAACCTAAAGTGAAACCAATAATCATATTAAAAATTAGAAGAGTAATTAAAGATCTACCTTTTAAAAACACACCAGTCTCAGATGGTTTTATAGCAGAGCATATATCATTTTTAAAGAACAGATATTCCTATCTTATTTAAATTATTCCACACTATAGGAAAAGAAGAACTTAAAATACATTTTATAAGACTAGCTTACACTTAATATTAAAACATAATAAAGATAATATGAAAAGATAATAGATGAACTTTATCTTTGAATGCAGATGCAAATAGTCTAAATAAAATCTTTGCAAATCAAATCCAACAGTCTATTAAAAGAAAATCATTTCATGACTAAGTAGGACTCCAGGAAACAGTAATAGTTTAACATTAGAAAACCTATGTCTTCAATTCACCATGGGAACAAAATAAAGGAGGAAGATCACATGATTATATCGAGTGATATAAGGCATTGTCAGCAGCCGTTTCTAATAATAACAGCTAATGTTTAAGTGCTTGCTATGTGCCAGGCATCGGTTCTAAGTGCTTTGTTTGCATTAATGTACTTAATTTTCCTAACAAGTGTATTGCTACAATCATTATTATTGCTATTTTACAAAAGAGAAAACTTGAACTCAGAGAGGTTAAATAATGTCCCACATATAGGAAATGATGGAGCCAGGATTTGAAGAAAGGTTGTGTTTCTGTAGAGCCCACATCCTTATCAGGTAGACTACACTGCCACTAAGAAAATCTCTAATTAGCACTAAAAAAAATCACTATACTTAAATATGATCAACATTCATTATTGAAGGCTAACAGTAAACTCTACAATAAAAGGTGAAATTTCTATTAAAATTCAGAAACAAGTTCAGTGTCAGGATCTTTGTGTGGGTGTGTCAATATATATAGCACCATTCTTTCCCTTGTGATTCTGAACAATGTAGAAAAAGCATAAGATGTAATCAGGGAGAAAAATATCAATCATATTACCATTAAAGGCTAGATTAGAGTTCATGGATTGCATCTGTGGGAAATGGACTTTGGAAACTAAACTCCAGAGTTAGGCAGACCTTGCTGACCCAGTCATGGAAGCACCGGCCCGAGGCAGGTCTCCCCTTGTCGGGGGACTAGCCAAGCGTGCCTGATTTATTTTCCTCAAGTGTGTCAATGAGCACAGAGAGCCCAGGAATGTTATGTTTGATTGAGCTCCCTCTATGTGATTCTTCTTATTTAAAAAGATTTAATTTGATTCAATCACAACTTATAAACTACCAGGAACCAAGCAGGGACAACAAACCTTTGTGAATGGCAGAACTTGTACTCCTCTCTCTCACTTTGTGAGAACTTAGGGGCTGATAGAAAGGAAAAGATGGGGCGTGTGGCATGCAGGATCTTAGTTCCCCGACCAGGGACCAAACCCGTTCCCCCTGCAGTGGAAGTGCAGAGTCTTAATTGCTGGACCACCAGGGAAGTCCACAAATGCCTATCTTGTGCTGAATGATTTACCTGCAATATCTAATTGAATGCTTAGTTTAAAACTCACACCAATTAAAAGATGAGATATCTGTGGTTCAGAAAAGCTAAGTAACTTGCTCAAGTTTATCCAGTTTGGAAGTGACTAAGTAGCTATTTGGCCAGGAAAAAAAGTCAGTAAAGACAATAGAACGTCATCTGAGCTTTTGAAATTGTTGTTACAGTATCATTCAAATAATTAGTCAATCAAACAAAATTTAAGTCAAGGAGTCAGCCTTTACAAAGAAGAGATTGTAAAGAATGGGGAGGATTTCCCCAGGAAGTGAAGGTCTTCAAGTTAGTCAAGGGAAGAATTTCATTATGAAGAATGTAAATGTCAGTTTGTAATAATAAACTAAAATATTCACAAACATGGAAATATGAATGAAGCATCTGAACAAAGGCATGACTAAATATTGCCAGTGGGTCCAATTATGCAACAAGCTGACGCTCCTTGCTTCTTTTTAGTCTCTATGACACCATCAATTCTTTCTGTGGCAGGTAGATGCAGAAGCACCTGCAGACCAGAGAGTGGCCCCTATAAATAGGGGTGAGCATGGGATTGTACTCTGGTTGGCACCACATCAAGTACCCTCAGTTTTCTAAAGATATATGGTGATGAACTGAGAAGATCATTCCATTATTTTCCTTCCCCAAACCTTTCTTAAAGCTTCTTTCACATCCTCGTTTCTCAGAGAGTAGATAAGGGGGTTCAGCATTGGGATCACCACTGTGTAGATCACAGCAACCATGCGGTCTTGGGTCAAGGAGTGGCTGGACCTGGGGCGCAGGTACATGAAGTGTTGTGCCATAGAAGAGGCACACAGCAGCGAAGTGGGAAGCACAGGTGGAAACGGCCTTGAACCTGCCCTGGGCTGAGTTCCTTCTCAGGATGGTGATGAGAATGAAGAGGTAGGAGACCAAGATGGTGAGGGTACAGCTCACAAGGTTGAAACCGGCAAAAATGAAGAGCAGGATTTCACACAGTGAAGTGTCCACACGTGACGGAGACAGGATGGGCGGTCCATCACAGAAGAAGTGAGTGACCACGTGAGCACCACAGAATTTCAGACTAAAGATACAGCTCATGTGGATTAGAGAACTGAGGAATCCTGCACTGTAGGAGCCCACGATCAGAGAGGCACAGACCTCAGGAGACGTGGCAGTTGAGTAGAGCAGGGGGTTACAAATAGCCGCATAGCGGTCGTAGGCCATGGCAGCAACGAGATAGCACTCACTGGTGGCAAAACCCGCATAGAAAGACATCTGAGCCATGCAGCCGGGATAAGAGATCACCTTCCTCTTGGCTAAGAAGTTCACCAGGGTCTAGGGGACAACTGTGGAGGAGTAGCAGAAATCCAAGAAGGAGAGGCTCTTCAGAAGGGAGTACACGGGTGTGTGCAAGGTGGCACTCAACGTGGATCATAATGAACACGATCAGATTCCGCAGCAGCGTGATAGTGTACATGCCCAGGAACACCATGAAGAGCAGCCTCTGGAGCCAGGGGTCACTGGTGAGGCCCAAGAGCTCAAACTCAATCCCTCGGCTCAGGTTTGCCCTTTCCATATTTCTCCAGTGCTCTGCGACGTGGAAAGAGAGGACCACCAGAAATGAGGTGAAACACCCAGGGGCTCTCACTCGTTTAGTTCTGCCCTAAGGACAGCCTTCTGAAGATTGTTGATAGAACTTTGTCATAGAGAAGTTCTCCACTACTTGGCTGGTTGGTTAGTTAGGAAGCATGACTTGAGCAGCAACGGAAAATATAAAAGAAATATACACAGTTTGCTCTCTTAAGGATCTTAAAAAATTCTAAGTAATGAAACAGTTACTTACCAAGTATTTATTGACCGTCTGCCATATGCTTACCAAGTATTTATTGACCGTCTGCCATATGCTTAGCTCCGTGTCCTTCCAGTCAGGAATTCAAGAGTGTCTGACCTCAGGAAGTTCATATTCTAGAGACAGACAGACATATTTTGTGTTTAGGCACGCAGGCTCTGCGTCAGACTGCCAAGGTTCCAAGCAGGGACCTCACTACTAACTAGCTGTGTAAACTTGGGAATGTTTCTTAACCTCTCTGATTTTCAGTTTTCAGTAAAATAAGGATAATAGCACTAATCTCAAAAGCTTGTTGTAAAAATTCAATGGCTTAATTCGTGTAAAGCACTTGAACAAAGCCTGGCACATTGAGAAAGAATGTTAGCTTTGATTATTCTTGTTGGAGAGATAGATCTAACACAAAACCAAACAACAATAAAATGAATAAATGAAACAATGACAAGATTTGGCAAGCAACCTACCACCAAACAAAATAGACAGAGACACGTGTACTAAGCAAGTGACTACACAGGCCTTCAGAGGATCCTGAGTGTTCTAGAGGAGTTGAAGGTGGTTCATTGGCTCAGCTATAAAATTGCCTCTCAGAACTTGGCCCAAGCCAGGCACTGCTATGGGCTCTAAAGGTGATGGGGGTCGGGATGTGGAGAGATGGGGCTGGTGTAGGGCTGTAGAGAGCGGGCTGAGACCTTGCACTCGGGAGCATCAGCCAGAGGGAAAATGCCACCCATCGTTCACGAAGTCACCATCGTTTCCAGTGAGTAGAATCGCCTTGTTCTCAAGGGCTGTTGGGCCAGCAGGGAAGGAACAGCCCCTCCCTAGGACTAGGGCTTTGTAAAAATGCCTTTTCTATTCAGAGAATGAACAAAGCCATGATGCATCACCTAAGCACCACACTCTCTTCTGCTGCATTGGCTGCTCTGTTCCTGAATTACCTCTGGGCTCTGGAGTCAGTTAAGAACCCTGTGCTCTTTGGTGAGGATCTTCAGTTGTGAAGGTTTTGAAACCAGCAGATGTGATTCGGGTAGGATAGAAAGGGACAAAATTGAGCCCCCTCCTTCTGCCTCGAGGAGAGTAAATGAATAATACAGCTGTGAAAGATGTTGGGAGGATTCCAGAGAGGAAAGAGCTGTAATGAACAGGCAAAAGATTCTAGTTTATCCCACTGGCAGACTTTCCAGAATCAGCAAACTACCAGAGCAGCGGAAGACTCTGGACATAGGGATGACTAAATTTACCTGTCAAGTAGGTAATGAAGGCACTATGGCTCTTGATAGAACACTGTGACTGGTGAACGGTGACAAGAAGAAAGCATTGTAATGCCCGAAGAGGTAACATGCCCTGATGAAGTTAAGACACAAAATACGAGGGCAAATTTGAATACCAAATTGGAGCCTCGGTAACTTCTTTTAGAGCACGTGGAGCATAACTGATTTATTTGGTCAGTGAGATGTAATATTCAGCCATTCTTAACCCAACAGTTAGTTTCTAGTTTATAATAAACCCCATTATTGCAGGAATGTGGACAGCCCTAGATTTGGGTTGCAAATGTCATTGGCCCTATTGGTGTCAAAAGCCAACTCAGCTTCAAGGCAAATTACAAGGACTTCAAAGAATTGACTGTAAAGATCCCAGGATGGAATTATTTACAGGAACTTCAAGGAAGTTGAGGAATTGTTGCTAAGAGTGAAGCAGAACTTCTTAAGAGGCAGCTTCACATCTTCTTCCTCAGTTGACTGTTTCAGTGTGGGTAATGGGTCTGCAAGTACCTCTCTGATTAAAAGAATGGACAAAAGCAGAGAAGAGAAGGAATGTGGCCAACACTCAGGCAGGGAGGTGGGTTGGAATAGGGTAGGGTAGGGTGGTGGTTAATACAATGGGTAGCTGATCAGAGCCTCTGATTTATTACTTGCTTTAAATCTACTCTTTCTATTCTTCTCCCCTTTCCTCTCTCATCTCTCTTCTCCAGCCTGCACTAAATTCAAAACTATTCAGAATAGAGAGTTAGTCAAGCAAGAGATTGTGGAGAAATTGACATCTCTGACAGTCTTTCAAAGGATGCTGGAATAGCCACTATTTCTGTTGGCTGCAGTTTGTACCTGTGAATGAAAACGAGGAAGAAAATTTGAGTGGTCTTATCATATGGAAACGGATTGTGGAGTGGAGTGTTTAGGAGTGAGAGCAGGTGCCTGGGGCCTGTAGAGGAGGGAGAAGTAAGCAAGGGATTTTATTTCTACCTGCTTCTTTGCCCTCCTCCTTGGGCTAACAGAGTGGGAGTACAACGGAGAGCCGGCAGTCAGAGGGAGCAGCCAGTATCTCTGAGCAGCAGTGATCCGAAGCAATGGTTCTTAAACATTAAGGTGCCCTGCCCAAGGTTCACTGGAGAAGCTTGTTTCTGTGCAGATTCCAGGTCCCAACCTCAGAAAATGTGAGCCAGTAAGTCTATAGCCAGGCCCCCAAATCTGGTGAATCTGAAACAGGTGGTTGCTGAACCATACTTTAAGAAACACTAAACCATGGGGTAACTTCCCCTGAGCCACATATAAATATCCTTTCTAATTTGCTAGAATTCTCCATGTCCTGGAAAATCAGATCAGCCTGTGGGGTAGGATGGTTGTCCTGGACATTCTCTTCCTTCCAGAATATGTGTCAGTAGTTAACAGTTCCCAGAAATCTGAGTATTACCTGGTGATAATCAAACACCAGCGAATTTCCTCCTTCAAGGTTGCTTGAGATGTCCTTAAGCAAACCATTTAATTCCAACAAAGCATGTGACTTGGTGGCAGAGCTATTGCTCTGGGGTCAGAACACAAGCCTTCATTAGAAAAACAGTAAAGACAAAGCCAGACTCATTCGGTCCATAGACTGAGTCTGGGGATCAGAGCCTGCTACTGACATTAACCTCCCATGTGGTGAGGGGAGGGAGGCAGCCCCCTCCCTGAGAGGCACTCACAGCTTATCCTGTACTGGGAAGAGACACCCCAGAGCCACCTTTTCCTCTGGGCGGCCCATCAAGTCACAGCTGGGGAGGACGATGTGTTCATTAATGAGGGCTTAGCAGGCAGGTGAGGAAGTGAGAATAACTGGCCCCATGTAGATCCATTAACGTGTTTGCAAAGTTACTAGCTCCTCTACCCTTGAGGAATCTGGTGATTGGGAAACTGGAAATGAAGGGAATGGTTCCACACCAGATCCCTGACAATACACTGGTCATTAGGCCCAAAGGACTTCTCTACCTCAACTGAACTCTTGTGTAATTATTATCTGTATTTCTTCTACACTGGAAAACCAAGTTTTTACAGTTTTTCTTTCTTTTATTCCAGTTACCCAATGTACACTGGGACCTAGATTACAGCTGAGGACCTCTATACCCATCAAGATCATAATAAAATTAGAGGTATGTGATTTACTTAACAAATACTCGGGGATTTTCTAGAGATCTTTCGGTTATTGATTTCTAATTTAATAACATGTGATTAGAGAACATACTTTGTATGCCTTGAATGCCTTTGAATTTATTGAGATTTGTTTATGGCCCACCCAGAATATGGTGTATTTTGATGAATGTTCCATGACCACTTGAAAAGGATTATATTCTGCTGTTGTTAGGTCAAATGGTCTATCATTGTCAGTTAGGTCATGTTCCTTGATAGTGTTGTTCAAGTCTACTATATCCTTTCTCATTTTCTGCCTACTTGTTCTATCAAGAGTTGAAAGGGGAATATATTGAAATCTCTAACTGTAATTGTGAATTTGTTGATTTCTCCTTGCTGTTTTTCAGTTTTGCTTCATGTATTTTGAAGTTTTGTTATAAGGTGCATAAACATTTAAGATTGTTATGTCCTCTTGATAAATTTCCCCACTTACATTATAAAATGACCTTCTTTATGTCCACTAATATTTTGGCTCTGAAACATACTTTTCTGAAATTAATACTGTCACTACAGTTTTACTTTGATTACTCAGCATGGTATATCTTTTTTCATTTCTTTACTGCTAACCCTTTAGTCCCAACGTTTCTGCACCATTACGTTTGCAGAATTTCCCCGGGCAGACCGGAAATCTTGGTCTTCTAGGTTGATGATATGCCTGGAAAATTGATTTCAGATGTACCTTGACACACAGCAAGCATCCAGAAACATTTGGGGGCTTTATCAGAAGAGCTGGTATGGGCTAGGCAGAAATCAAGCAAACCCTGTGAAAGGCAACTTTGCAAAGGATGGGATGGTATCATAGGCAGCCTTTGTGGAGCCCTGAAAGCCAGAGATGATTGTCACTTTGATAGAGTGCTGCTGTATCTTCTCCATGCAGGTATCTTTATTCAGTTGATTTCTCACATCCTTTACTTACAGGAAAGGAATTTTTGCCCTTTATTTGCGTCTGTTAGCTTGTTTCACATTAAAATCACTTTGGGGAACCAACACTCAAAGTTTCAGGTGTGTGTGGCTTTTGTAAACAGCATATATCTAGAATATTCTCTTTTAACTAATCAGAGTATCTGTTTTTATATAGGTGAGATTTTGGGGTATTGGTTTTTTGCTTTTCAACTTTTGGGGCTTTCAGGTATATTGAATTTGTTTTATTTCTCACCTTGAGTTTTCCATTTATCACACTTTTTCCAATTTGCTTCCCTCCCCCACCCTCTGATCCTGTTCCTGTTTCCTTTTGGATTAAGTTTTCTTTGTTTTGTAATGTATGTTTTTCCCCTTCTACTGATTCCTCTATTTCTATTAGTAGCTATCCTTAAATATCCAACCGTAATATTTAGTTTAACAAAGTCTATCAAATATGCTTAAATCCATAAGTTCATGATGATATTTAAATTAATTGGTCACTGGATTAGTTATCTATTGTCACACAACAGATTATCTCAATAAACATTCATTTTCTTATACTTTTGGAAGTGACACAGTACTGTAATTTTTGCAGTATCCTCCTGGTTACACAGGCCAGCCCCATGCACTGTGGGAGTGGACTACACAAGGGCATCAATACCAGGAGCTGAGAATCACTGGGGCCATCTCAAAGACTGGCTATCGTAGTCCTCCCTCTGGCCCTCACTGATCCATGTCCAACTTACACATGAATATACACTCAAAATATACTCACCCCCTCCCAAGAATCCCGAAAGTCACGTTCCATTACAGTATCAGCTCAAGGTCCACAATCACATCATCTAAATCAGGTACAGGTATGGATGAAGTGCATCATATGCGGTTCCTTACGTAGAGTTTCTTGAGTACAGTTCCAGTCAATCATAAGATTGGTGAGCTAAACACACAAGTTACATCTGGCTTCTACACACACAAAACACATAATGGCAGGACAGGTATAGGAAAACCACTACAGAAAAAAGGGGGGCTAGAGGAAGGTGGGCACACAAGAGTCACTGAGTCGCAAAAATTCTAAAATCCAGTAAGACACTTGTTGGCAAGTCCTTGATTAGGACTCCAATCCTAGGAATAATTCTCTGTGGCTCTTGGCTCCACTCTGAGATTATAGCTCTGCCCACTAAATTATCCTTCATTTTATATGAAAGCTAGCCTGTGTTTGTAGCTGAGTAGTTTTCTTAGCTTGCTTCCTGTCTGAAGGAGTTTGGGGATTGAAAGGCTTCTCTTCATTTTCTACTGTCTTACAGTTCAAGCTGGTGGTGATTCTGCACCATGACATTCTTAAAAACTTAACAAATCTCTGAGATAACGCTCTACCTTGAACCTCTGCTGAGACAGCTGAGGGCCTACACTCTGAAGCTTCCTGGAAGTCCTATCATTTGTCTGAACTGTTCTCTGAGGCACCACCTTGGATCTTCCTAAGGCCTTAATGAAAGATTTTACTGTCACCCTCAGCTTCATCTTTATTGATTGATTGATTGATTGATCGATTGATTGATTGGCTGCACGCAGCTTGCGAGATCTTAGTTCCCTGACCAGGGATTGAACCTGGGCCCTCGGGCAGTGACAGCATGCACTCCTAAGCATGGACCACCAGGGAATTCCCAAATCACCCATTTCATTAGGTACATTTTCTACCACCTACATTACTGTAACAACAGAGTTGCTAAACTCTCTGCCACTGCATAACACAGAATTTTTTTCTCCAGTTTCCAATAACACTATCCTCATGTTTATTTAAGTCCCATTGGCAGCCTTCTCAAAGGCTATCCGAATTTTCCTAACAGTCTCCTCAAAGCCTTTTAGACTTTCACTGATACTTTCCTCAAAGTTCTTTCAGCTTCCTCCCACCGTACTGTCAAAGACAATATAACTTTTCAATGTCTCAATTCCATGTACCAAAGTCTGTATTACTTATCTATTGCCGTGTAACAAATTGTCCTAAAATTTAGCAGCTTAAAAGAACAGTAAACACTTAGTATTTCACATGATTTCTGCTGGTCAGAAATTTGAGAGACCTTGGCTCTCACCACCAGGGAAGTCCGTCAGGTGGATTCTTAACCACTGCGTCACCAGGGAAGTCCGAAAAACATTCTTAAAGAACATAACTTACCAAAACAAAGAGGAAATAGATAATCAGAATAGTCCTAAAGCTAATAAAAATTTTATCCATTATTGAAAATTCCCGGGACTTCCCTGGTGGCGTAGTAGTTAGGAATCTGCCTGCCAATGCAGGGGACATGGGTTGGAGCCCTGGTCCAGGAAGATCCCACATGCTGTGGAACAACTAAGCCTGTGTGCCACAACTACTGAGCCTGCGCTCTAGAGCCCATGAGCCACAACTGCTGAGCTTGCGTGCCACAACTACTGAAGCCCACATACCCTAGAGCCCGTGCTCTGCAAAAAGAGAAGCCACTGCAGTGAGAAGCCTGCGCACCACAAGGAAGAGTAGCCTCCGCTCGCCGCAACAAGAGAAAGCCTGTGCACAGCAATGAAGACCGAATGCAGCCAAAAAATAAATAAATAAATAAATAAAATTTTTAAAATTCCCTACAAAGAAAAGTCTAGGCCCAGATGGCTTATCAGTAAAATTTCCCAAATATTTAAAGAATAAATAACATCTATATTACACAAAAAATTCCAGGGGATAGAAAAAGATGAAATTCTGTTCAGTTCATTGGAAGAGGCCAGCATAACCTTGACCACGAAACTTGAAAAACACTGTAAGAAAGGAACCTACAGGTCAATTTCTCTCCTGAACATAGATACAAAAATCCTAAATAAAATATTACTAAAGCAAAGACAGCAATATATAAAAAAGCTAAATCTTACATCAAGTTCATTTTATTCTAGGAATGCAAAGTTGATTTAACATTCAAGATAGAATCTAAAGAAAGGGTACAAATGAACTTATTTACAAAACAAAAGTAGAGTCACAGATGTAGAAAACAAACTTACGGTTACTGCGGGTAAGGGCGGGGAGGTTGGGACTGACATATACACACTACTATATATAAAACAGATAACTAATAAGGACCTACTGTATAGCACAGGGAACTCTACTCAATACTATGTAAGGGCCTATATGGGAAAAGAATCTAAAAACAGAGTGGATATATATATATATATAACTGATTCACTTTACTGTACATCTGAAACTAACACAACATTGTAAATTAACTATACTCCAATAAATTTTTTTTTAAATTCCAAATAAAGGATAAAATATATAATTGTCACAATTCATGGAGAGTAAGCATTTGATAAAATTCCATATCCACTCATGATTTTTAAAAACCTTTGCAAACTAGTGATAAAAAAGAATATCCTTAATCTAACAAAAGATAAATACAAAAACTTTACAGCAAGCATCATATTTATTGGCTTTATTAAAATCCAATAAATAGTAAAAGTGTTCTCCCTGAGATCAGGAATGAAGCAGGGTTGTCCTCTATCACAATTTTGTTTTGATATTGAACTGAACAATTTGTATTCAATAGTGTGTAATAGGCAGGAAGAAGAAATAAGAGGTATTGAAAAAGATGAAACAACACTTTTATTATTCACAGACATGATTGAATACATAGAAAGTCCAAAATGAATCTACAGAATTAATAAGTTAATTTTACAAGGACCTGAATACAAAGTTAATGCATAAAAAATAAATTATTAGAAAAGATCATTAGAAAATGAAACATCAAATGATAGCATTTCTACTGGTATCCAAAATTAATGAATTCTAATGAAAGATGTATATGAAAGCTACTACATAATACTAAAACAACTAAAGAAGACTAAATAAATAGTTATATTATTTTCATAGATTGGAAGTTTCAAAATTATAAAAATTCATTCCATTTTGATCTATAGATTACATTCAGTCCCACTCAAATTCCCAGCAGTTTGTCTTTGGAAATTGCAAGCTGATTTAAAAATTATTACATATTTTGGGGGCTTCCCTGGTGGGGCAGTGGTTGAGAGTCCGCCTGTGGATGCAGGGGACACG